TAAAAATCCTTTCAAGAAGATATTGCTTAATTTAAAATATTAAAATATAAAGGATATTTTATAAATTTTTGGCTAAAATTCAACCGACAAATTAATGGTTTCGAGGTTATTGGGCTTTTTGAGCTTWTTGAGCTTGCTTCATTTTAGTTATTTTTTATGAATATGTTAGTAAAACGAAATATATTTTAATACTAGTTGATCTTTTAAAATTATTTTGAATAATGTTTTTGAACATCGTCCCTACATAACGTCACCTAAAATGCAAAATAATACATAATAATAATTATAATATACTATATCTTGCYATTCCACCTCTATTTAATGGAAATCTATACCAGTTTTTCTATGAAATTTATACCGGTTGTTTGTTCGATAGGCAAGTTATAACAGTCTTTCTATGTAATTTATACCAGTTTTTTGCTCGATTCCTGATATTATTGAGCTACTTTTCCTTATATATCTGATCAGCTTTTCTTTATTGAATCAATTAAGTAGACAAAAAAGGTAAAAGAGTATATGTATATATAGGTACTTTACTTGTAAATATAACTGAAATCAATTATAAATTTCTAAGGAAGTAATTAATCCAAAGTAATTGACTGCATTTCTATTGTTGCTTACGACTTTAGCTACTCAAAGCTACTCACAATCAATCAAGCTACAAAAATTATAAATATGCTTTTTACTTTTATAAGCTAAAAGCAAATAAATAGTATARTACTCACACTTTACTATACCTATAATCGAMATACATATTTAGATACAATCTACTRTATTATTSCTGACTTACTAAGTAAACAAGTGTGGATCGAAAGCATCATGTGAAATTATCACTTAACGCAGCGGATGCTTAGTATCAGCTGCTTATAGAGAGACAGAAAGACGTTCATATATGTAAATATGTATATATTGAGAAAGAGAGATTGATATAGAGAACGAGAGAAAAGGAGAATAGCAGAGTGTTAGGTCAATAGCTTATCAAAGGGCGTCACGTTGTAAAGCAATAGACGCGACTTAGAATAGCGATTATTTCAGCAAACTGTTCCAATGAACTCGCTGCTAACACTTAGATGAACTGATTGATGATTTTAATATAAAA